CGTGCAACTTCAATGCCCAAGAAATACCAAAGATCTCCCAAGTCTTTGATTTCAAATTCAGAGTTGAGAAATCCTTTTAGTTTGCTGGCCTCTTCAATGTCATTACCCGTGACCACAATGYCATCAACATAAACAATCAAGAAGGTCACCAGAGAGTCATTTTTCTTCAAGAATAGTGTATGATCAGATTGTGCTAGAATGTAGCCAAATGAGACAAGAGCAACCCGAAATCTTTCAAACCAAGCCYGAGGAGATTGTTTGAGACCATAAATAGATCTGTGTAGTTTACACACTTTGCCTTTCATTTCTTTCCCATAAACTCCTAGAGGTAGAGACATATAGACCTCTTCATGCAGGTCTCCATTCAGGAAGGCATTTTTAACATCAAAYTGGTGTAGGGGCCAGTCAAAAGTAGCTGCTAGAGAAAGTAAAACCCTGACTGAAGTCATCTTAGCAACAGGAGCAAATGTCTCAAGATAGTCAATGCCATACATTTGGGTGTAACCCTTAGCAACCAACCGAGCCTTAAATCTCTCAACAAAGCCATCAGAGTGATACTCAACGGTAAACACCCATTTGCAACCCACTGGTTCCTTCCCTTCTGGCAAGCCCACAATATCCTAGGTATGGTTCTTATGCAATGCATCAAGTTCAGTCATCATAGCATCCCTCCATTCAACTTGAGATAATGCTTCCGGTACAGACCCAAGTATCACATGGGAAGACACAGAGGCAAGAAAGGAGTAGTAGGAAGGGGAGAGAAGGCTGTAAGATAAGTGTTTGGAGATACAATGGGCTAGTTGAAACATTCCCAAGGCAAGGCTTCTGCATGACACTGGCAAGCTGAGCATAGATGTTAATCATGCCCAGCTTGCCAGTGTCATGCAGAAGCCTTGCCTTGGGAATGCCCTTGGTGAGAAAATCTGCCAATTGTCCTTCAGAARTGATGAATGGAAGAYACACTTCACCCGAAGAGACTCTTTCTCGAATAAAGTGTCTATCAACCTCAATATGCTTAGTTCTATCATGTTGTACTGGGTTGTGGGCAATGTTGATGGCGGCCTGATTATCACAGTGAGACCTGTTCATGGGCCGGGTGGCCCGACGGTCCGGCCCGACCCCCGGACGGGCTTGAACAGGATTTTTGGCCCGCAGGCTTAACCTCAGGCCAAAAAGCCTGGCCCGAGCCCGGCCCGGCCCGACCTATAGTTAAACCTAAGTAAACCTGGCCCGACCTATAGTTAAACCTAAGTAAAAACCCTATGTGATGTCCATTTGAATAAATTTTTTGATTTGAGAAGGTTGTTGATTCACTTGTAGGCCCATTGTTCATTTAAATAGGGGAAAAAACATCTGAATTTAAATAGATAATGTCTATTTGAATAGGGAAAAAATTGAATTTCTTTTATTAGGTCGGGCTCGGGCTCGGGCTCAGGCTCGGGCTTTGGGCTTTTTATCAGGGCCAGGCTCGGGCCCAAGTTGTACGCCCGTTGGTCGGGCCGGGCTCGGGCTCGGGCCTAACATTTTTCTGTTAATAAAGAGTCAAAAACCGGCCCGAGCCCGGCCCATGAACAGGTCTAATCACAGTACAACATCATTGGCTTGTCATGATCAATCCCAAGTTCTTCCATCAATGACCTTAGCCACAACAGTTCAGAGACTCCATGTGTCATGGCCCTGTATTCTGCTTCTGCTGAGGATCGGGCCACAACTGATTGTTTCTTGCTCCTCCAAGAGACAACATTACCAGCCACCAGAYTRCAATACCCTGAAGTRGATCTTCTGTCATCAATATTTCCAGCCCAGTCAGCATCAGTATAGGCTTCAAGTTTCAGATGGCCATGCTTGGTAAACAAAATTCCTTTTCCTGGAGAGCCTTTCAAATAACACAAAATTCGTTCTGCAGCTGCCATATGAGTATTCTCGGGGAGCATGCATGAACTAGCTAATACAACTGACAGCATATTCAATATCTGGCCGAGTCATGCACAGGTACAGGAGTTTCCCAAGAAGTCTCTGAAARACCCCTTTGTCTTCCAACAATGTTCCATCTGAAGCAGACAGTTTGTGACTCATATCAATAGGAGTTGCAGCTGGTCTAGCACCCATCTTCCCTGTTTTAGAGAGCAAGTCAAGGACATACTTCCTTTGGGAGATAAGAATCCCATYCTTGGATCTAGCAACTTCTATGCCAAGGAAGCATCTCAACTCCCCCAGGTCCTTAATCTCAAATTCTGTACGAAGGAAAGACTTACGAGCACAAATTCCTGATGCATCATTGCCAATCACAATAATGTCATCAACATACACAATAAGATATACTGCCAGAGATCCACTTCTCTTCACAAAAAGAGTATGATCAGATTGTGTCTGAGCATAGCCGAATTTAACAAGTGCTGCTCTAAATCTCTCAAACCATGCTCTAGGAGACTGTTTGAGGCCATAAAGGGATTTCTTCAATTTGCATACCTTTCCTTGCATATCACTTCCATACATTCCTGGAGGGAGAGACATATAAACCTCCTCGTGTAAGTCACCATTCAGAAACGCATTCTTTACATCTAACTGATAAAGGGGCCAGTCAAAGTGAGCTGCTAGAGATAAGAGAACCCTCACAGATGTCATCTTAGCAACAGGTGCAAAGGTCTCCAGATAATCAATCCCATACGTCTGTGTGTAGCCTTTTGCAACCAATCTGGCCTTGTACCTCTCAATAGTCCCATCAGACCGGTATTTAATGGTAAAGACCCACTTGCAACCAACCCTCAAGGCAAGCCTAGATAAGCACAGAACATGTGGGCTCAGGTTATCAGTGGGCAAATTTGTTAACAAGCTGAGATTATATGACATATATTCTTCTTCTTCTTCTTCTTCTTCTTCTTCTTCTTTTCTCCTAGTTCGAACTACTGTAGCTATAGAACAAACATTCCTCTTTTCTCAGTTCGGCTGAACAACACAAACAAACCTGTTCATCTTCTATCCTTTGCCCTCCTCTCCACAATAGCTTCTACAGATGTAGTCAACCAAATACTATGAACCAGACCATCAGAAAAAACTCCAATCTTCCTGGAAATGGCTTCAGGCTTCACTTCCCTTAGTCTTATTGCTGCTGGGTATAAATCCTTGAGGAAAAAACCTTTTAGGCATCCCCAACAAACCAGTGATTTAAAAGGCACACCTAGGCGCACAGGCGAGGCGCATTTCAGAGTATACGCCTTGCCTAGGTCCTAGGCGCAGCCCTTTCAAAAGGCACATGCCTGGTGCGCCTGATGCACCTTGCGCCTCAGCCCAGGTGTGCGCCTTTTGAAAATTTGACGCTTTTTTGAACATAGTGGCTGGGCACCGGAGCAGAGGAGAACCCCTAATAAAATGTCTTCTTAAAAAGCAATTAAAACTATAAAATCATTGTTTTTTTGTGTGAAAACTAAGAATTTAAGACCTAACGTGGATTTATTTGGGCTTGCCTTGAGGGGCGTGGCACAAAGGCAGCTCGTAGAATCAGGAATGTAATATGTTTTACATTACATTAGCTACTTGAAGTAATGCAATTGAGTGAAAAAAGAGATTAGAGGTTTTACATGCTTAAAAATGTTTTATATGTTTGATTTTATTTTTAAATTCTCATTTGAATATGCTTTACATCTTATGTTTATGTATTTTAATTTTAGATAATAGGTTTTTTAAAACATTATAAAATTTAAGTTTATATTTTTTTATTAATATTATGTTTAATATTTTTTGTTTTTTTTTTGAATTTTTTTGGCATTTTTTGAATTTTCTGACATTTTTTTTTGTATTTTTGCGCCTTGCTACAAAAAGGTGCGTTCCTCGCCTTGCGCCTTAGGCGCAAATTGACCCCTGCGCCTTGCGCTTTTAAAACACTGCCACAAACTAATGAAATTGATCCAAACATTGCTTGCTGCCAACGATGACAAGCAGAACGAGAATTCTTACCATTATGCCATTTTTGAATTCAACTCCTTTACATCTGAGCTTGGACAACATCTTCATAAAATTGTCCTACCTTAGTTTGAAGAGAGGAAGCAACAACATCGAGTTCCTCATTATCCAAGAGATCCATCAACCTTTATTCTCATCAATCATGTTAGCATTAAAGAACCTCTCAATCTCAACACTTAGCTAACAGCTTCGCCAACAAAGCACCAATCTTCAATCTACTCCTTTGCAGATACCACAAAATGATTCTCCGAGAACTCTTTTACATTGTTATGAACCATTTTAATTTCTCCAGTGTGACTTGCCATTGGGATCTTTCCTTCCTACTCTGAACTTTCTCTAAAGCAGTTCTTACCCTTGATTTCTTGTAGCATTCCAATCTTCCAAAGCCATGAGTAAATCATAAATCTGCATGAGAACCTTGTTCCATCCCGTGTTCCTTATTCCCTCTGGTAAACAGATTACTTGTTTCTTCCCCTGTCCAAAGAACTCCCAAAGGGCAATCAATCCTCCATTAGCATTACTCTTTCTTTCTTGCAACATATCTCCTACCATCAACCTCTATTGATGCTTTGCACTCCTCTTCCATTCCAGTACCAATCAATCCATCTAAGACTCCTTTAAACCAACCTTCCATTAACAGCACCAAAACCTTCTTAGGCTAAGTTTGGGAGTGCTTATTTGAAAAATAAGTGCTTATTCTAACAAGTGCTCATGATCATTTGGTGAAAAAGCACTTATTTCAAATAGGGGTAGTATAGGTATTTTCAAAATAATGTGGYGGGCCAAGACAGGCCAGAAAGGAAATAAGCGCTTCTTGAATAAGCACTTAAATAAGCCCGAATTTTGGGCTTCTTGAATATGTGCTTATTCTCAGAATAAGAACTCATTTTGGGCTTATTTCCCAAATGCCAATAAGTGCTTATTGGTCCCAGACCAAAACAAGTGCTTATTCGAATAATCACTTATTTTTAAGCACTCCCAAACTTGGTCTTAAGCTCTCTGATTTTCAAGCTAACTTTCCCTTTGGTTTTGTTAAAGAATAACACTTGTGTCCTTGGTGATATACATGCATGTAATATATAAAAAGATTGCAGGCTGGACTAGAAATGATCAACTCTAGCTAGAACCCAAGAGATCAATAGGAAGAGAATGACTCCCACTAGGTTTCAAGGGAAGTCTGTCTATCCTTACACTGCCTTTTAAATTGAGAAGAAAATGGAAGAAAACAATAGAAAATATAAAAGAAGGTGACTTAATTTGCTTGAAAACAGAAAACAAAACAGAACAGAGGGTGAGATAAAATAGGAACATAAATTCTTTTCTATTTAGTCCTGTTTTACTTTCTTTATCTTATTTTCTTTTGTCCTGTTTTCTTCAGAGAGAAACATTGTTAAGGATACATTTACATCTTGTGTCTAAACTAGGAGTGATCATTTCAGCCTGGCCCAGACCGGCCCACATATATTTAATATATGTATATGTATGTATGTTATTTTATGTTATATTATATATTTTATATATAAACATTATAATATGACACTTATAATATAGATTATATATAAAATTTTATATTATATAATGCATAATATAAATTTATATGCATATTATATGCCATTTAATACAAAATATTATATATATGTAATATTTTAGATATATAAAAGATATGGGCCCACAATCAGGCCCGAGCTTATGTTTCAGGCCGGAACCTTGGCTATAGCCCTTATTATAAGTGCAAAGCCAGGCAGAGTCCATGACCACCCCCTAGTCTAACCCACCCCCACCCCCCAACCACATGGATGCATGCCTCAGCATGTTCTGATGTTCCCAAGAAATTGCTAATGAGAACATTTGGTCCAGGAACTCCAGCCCTTTCTAATGCAAAAAAGAAAAAAATAAGTATAAACTACAAAGGAAATGAAATAAAAATAAATATCCAAAATACATCACAAGGCAAAAAGGCAGGTTCATAAAATATCCTACATATTCATGGAAACAATGCCAAAGGTAATATGATATACATGTAATTATAAACTCATTGAGCATACCTTCCTATAAACTATTCTAAAAGAATGTGGAGAGAGAGAGAGAGAGAGAGAGAGAGAGCAATTAGAAGAAATGTCTTTGTCAACAGTAAAGTAAAAATTGACAAGCAACAAGACAAAATATTCCTGAAGGCATACCTGCAGATCATTCTCTCCAGGATATGAAACTAGTGTTATTATGGATATACGAACAATAATATCAAGCACAAGTTTTCCTTGATTTTGATCTCCACAGAAACTAAGTAAAGCAATTCTAGTGAGTTGCGGCTCATGCTGAAGATCATGCTTATTGGAGCTAAACTGCTTTCCACTTTCAAGTGGCATTAAATATGTAGCAGACCATCTTGCAAGAAACCATATAATTGCCTGTAAAGGTCAAGAGTTCAAGTAAGAGAAGATAAATGGTTCTTTTAGGCTAAGAACTATGAAGATATAGATATAGTTTAACTAGACCAAACCATTAAAGACAGGAAAGGAACAGAAAGAGCGCTTTGGCTCAAGTGAAAGAGAAGATAACTATAAGAAATAAAACAAGGCAACAAAAAGCCTCACAAAATCAAATCCCAATCAAACAAGAACAACCACAGACAAAAACCTAGGAGAAAACATAATACATCTATCTCCAAATGACCCACCTAGCTAGAAACCCTGGTCACCAAAATAACAAGCACTGCCAATTCACGATTTCTGCTAATGCAGGAGGTAAAGTTGAGGAGTAACGTAAGTTACTATTTACTATAATTCCATTAATTAACTCATGCTATTGTTTATAGTAAAATCAAGATATGCTATTTTAGTAATTTATGGTTTCTTTAGATTAAACTAGTGGTTTTCACTTGTCATAAGGATTTTGTGCAAGATTAGAAGTCCATGGGTGTTAAGTAATCCTTTTCTTGCTCATTAAGTATTTGAGATTGTTAAGGAAGCCTTGCCTACCCAGATAGAATATGAATTTGGTTTGAAGTTCTCTCTCTTCATGTGTGCTGGGATCATCCTTGTACTTCTCTTTGATGTACCTCATAGCTAATAGAGTTATTTCAGGTTGCTTGGCTTGTTAAAGATTGCACCATCAATCAGTTTATTTTATTCCCCTGCTTAAACTACTTCAAAACTTGCACTTTTCTTCATTCTAAACCCATTGATTCTTCGCTGAATATACTACAACCATAGTAAATTAACCCTCAAGAATTCACACCATTTTCCTTGTTTCTCTTTCTTTTCCCACCATTTTCCTTTATAATCTACAAATTTAATAATTTCTTCTTCCCCCCTTCTTCCTCTACCCTTTGAATTGCTGGCCATCCCTTTCTCCACTTTTCTTGCCCTCAACAAACCAACCTTCTCTTTTTCACACTTTCTGATTTCTATTTCCCCTATATTCCAACACATGTAAATGGGTGGGTTAAGGTGGATTACAAGTGGGTGGCTTGGGTGGGTCAAGTGGGTTGGGTCAAAAATTGCCACCCCTACCAACAAGGTCTCTATGCAAAGTCAAGGTTCTTGAAGCCTTGACCTTGTCAATCATCTTAGTAATTGAAAACATCCCTCCACAACAACAATTCATAGCTATATTCTCCATAAATTGAAGACGTTTGCCCTCCACTGCCACTCTAAGGGTGTGTATTAGACTCTACATCTTGAGCTCCATCATGCTTAGAATATTCTATAGCTTACTCTCCATATCAGTAACCAAAATGAATTGACCTCCCTCCAGTGTTTTAAAATGTTTTAAAAAGCATATGATCTCAAATTAAAACAAAAACATAATATATTAAACATATTCAATCACTCAACGGTTCAAATTTGTGAAACTTTCAATCTCTTTATTCCTTTGCAAGGAACATTACTTCAAATAACTAATCTGATGCGAAACATCTAGCAACCCTAATACTATGAGCCGCTTATGTACCAAGCCCCTTGAGGCAAGCACAAACAAGTCCAACCATACATAAAAGATTGGGGCTAGGTTAGGTGCATGCCTTAAAATGCGCCTCACCTGGCCTAGGTGCACCAAAACATATGGCAACACGCTTTGAAACATCAAACCAATCTAAGAAATAGGAAAGCATTGCACACCACCACACCCTGAACTTGCATACAACCCTTGTTAGTAGTCGGAGATGATAAAGTCTCATTGTGTGTGGAGCATCCTTAGTGAGGCAGAACATTCAATTGCTCTTGGCCCGCTTGGGATTTGACCATCGGTCCAGTCAAGTTCTACAAAACCCTCTCGATCTGGTTTGGGTTGAGACAATTCATCTACTCAGTTGGGTGCTTCCAATGTCTTACCCATTGAGATTCCAATCAAGTGGTTCAGAATACTATTTTGTCCCCTGTCTGATATCATTAGCTTTTTACCTACTTCTGTGGACACTGATTCAGCCCTTGGATTGGAGGGCAACAGCTTAAGTCAACCCAATATGTCTAGAGACCTTTTTATGGTCAACTTTGAAATGCTATATATTGGCATAAGTTGACCATTTGTCTATAGCATCAAGTAAGAAGCTGCCACATTAATACCACTTTACTAGGTCATAAGTCGACCATTTGTCTATAGCATCAACTTTGAAATGCAATAATATTGATACCTCCTGACAGAGAAAAAGCTTCCGCCAACAATGTCAACCTTACCATATACATGTTCCATTTTAGGATGCTTTCATTGAACATAGAATCTAAACCACCTTGTTGCCTAAGATTTATCTCTCCAAAGATTCTTGAAGTTTGTCAGGTCTGGATCAACCACTAGAAATTCCCCACATAGGTCCCCAGTTCTCCAAAAAACATATTCCTCCTAGAGGTATAGTAATTAAATAAACAAGGCATTCAAGGGCATAGTAATCTACCCAACTTCAGCTTCAGCCATTAAGGAGCTCACAACCTCCATAAAAACCTATTCACTAAACAATGATAAGTTTTTCAATTCAGCCACTGCAGTTGTTATCACATGGCCCCATACAGATTGGACACCATCTAGAAATAGTAATGACACCTAAACTCAACTCCATCCTAGTTGCATCAATGTTCACTGCTTTGCCATGGGTGTCTAGGATTTCCTGGACTTCTCAAAAGGTTTGACTCCTTTTTTTTTTTGATAAATGAGAGTAGTTCTATTAATTCAAAAAATAGCAGTACATTCAGCCTAGGAAGAGGCACGAAGTGTTACCTCCCCCTAGGACTGAGTCATAAACACTAAACAAACACAAGCCAGAAGCACAGTTACAAAGTGGCCCAAAACAGATCTCCCCTTGACACCCCTTGCTTGGCCAGAGAACCAGCCATTGCATTTGCTGATCTGCTGACCCACTGAAACCTGACTGACATATTCCTTGTCAGCCATTTAACTTTCTTTAACAGATCCCTGTAGCCCCAACAAGCTGTCTCTGGACTTGTCCACCAGCCCACTACTACCTTGGAATCCCCTTCTACTACCAAATTATTCAGTCCAAGTTGACTGGCTGTTTGTATACCTTGTACCACTGCTAGTATCTCTGCCCTTACAGAATCACCAACACCCACTGGTCCTGAAAATAAAGACAACATGTTGCTATCTTTGTCTCTCAGAATCCCTCCTATTCCGGATGGCCTTCGGTTACCTTGGCAGCTACCATCAACATTCAATTTTACCACTCCATCCGGTGGGGATTCCCATTCAGCTTGTGATTTGTTCTTTGTGGAGACTGTAGAAGCCACTGCTGTCCAGTTTCTCTTTAAGTCATCAAAGGAGTAGTCTGCCAAAAAGTGTGAAGATTTCAGCCACGAGACTGTCCTTGTCATTATGCATTCCTTGATTTCAGCAAGACTTTTTTCCTTTCTTGAAATATTCTAGCATTTCTCTCCTCCCATAAAGTCCACAAGGTAGCGGCTCTGATACATTTCCACATTAGCTTCCCTCTTTTTGTCAATCTCCCAAAGGCAGCTGGAATGAACAGCAGCTTTACGGTTTGGCTCCATTCTTTAGTCATCAATAATCTGGCATTTAGCAAGTTCCTAGTATAGGTCTAGTCATCCACTAGTTTTCACAATCACCACCAAGTTTTCTTCCCAATCTTCTCCCCTTATAATCAAAATAGATGGCCTGTTAGAATTGCCAACCATAGATATTCCTTCCTCAAAGCTTCTACATACCTTTTTCTCCATTCTTTTTTATTGTTAATGGTTGAACTTTATTTTTTTTTCTTTTTTTGATAAATAACTATCATTAAATTTCATTAGAAGCGAAGGATTACATCTGTTACAAGCATCCCAGTGTGAGGCACGAGGTGCAGCCTCACCTTTTAACAAAAATATATAGCAGATTTACAAATGGGCCCAGTACATCTGATCCCTAGTTACCCCTTGCTTAGCTAGAGAATCAGCCAGTTCATTGGCCTCCCTTCCCACCCACTGTATATTAAAATCATCTGTTGTGTGAGCCATTTGAATTTCTTCATTTCATTTCATTAGAACTATATATTCATTTCATTAAAAAAAGTTGTGTGAGATATATTGTCTTCATTTCATTACCATTGTAATAAGACAATGGTAATAAGACAATAAGACAATGGTAATAAAATCATCATTGTCTTATTACCTTTGTTTATAGTGCTGTTAGAATACTATTAGAACTTTTTTTTTCTGTTGTTTCTAGTGAAAGGGGTATTCCTGTCATTGTACCACTTATTGTTGTAGACCTAATTTTAAATATCATTTGGGGTGGCAGACTAAGCTAGCCGAACCCCTCTTTCTCTTCTATTCTCTCTTCCTCTTCCTCTTCTCCTCTTCTCTTCTCTTCTCTTCTCTTCATCTCTGGTTTTCTTTTGTTTACTAAACAAGTCTGAACCTTCTTGGTTTCAGACAACTTGGTATCAGAGCAGACCTAAACCTGGTTTGGATTCTCATGTAGGTGTTGTCCAGCCGACTACATGAGAGTAGTTCTAAGGCTGGAAGTTTCAGCTTGATTCGCCTGGTTCTTGGAGGTCATTGGAGATTGAAGAAGGTGCCCAAGGTTCAAACTACTTGGAGAGCTGTCCGGTGACCAGGAAGAATCGGAGAAAACAGGTTGGTTTCTGATTTAGAGCTTAAATCAGAGATTGAGAATGGCGCCCAGTAAGTTCTGGGTTGTTTTTCATATTTTTTGGACTGTTAAGTGTCTAAAATTTCTCTGGAATTAGTACAGCTGTTCGGCTGTTCTCTTGAACTGCTTTAGCCCAGAAATTTCTGGGTTATTTTCATACTTTTTGGACTGTCAAGTGGCTGAAATTTCTCAATCATTACAGCTGTTTGGCTATTCTCTTGGACTGTTTTTGGGCTTCTTTACGGACCGTTCTTCTAGGCTGTATTATTTTTGACAGTGTTGGTCTCCTCTACTGCCCACCTTGGGTTCG